TAGCTGAACCACAAATCATTAAAAAATGAGAAGGAAGACGTCAGCATTTAGGCTAGGACTGATCTCATCTCACTCAACCTTTTCAGAAGTCAGGAAATCTTGCTAGTTGTCCAAGTCCCGACTGCAGCCAGGAAAGAGGTACTGCTAGATGGTATTTAGTCACCCAGGGTAGTGTTATCATAAACCCACGTGCATTTGTTGGAGTCACCAACAGCTCCTGAGACAGCAAGAATACACCACTTTGCTGTGGTTATCAGCACTATGAGGGTGTAAATACCAGAGCTAAGAAAACTCAGGTTTTTAAGAAGGCAGTAGAGGACCTCTGAGAGAGACCATCACCAGAAGAGTAATTACATCTCTTAGAGCTATCACTAGGATGAAAACTCAGAGCACACTATCATCCCACAAAAATTTTTAACAGATCTCTGCTTATTTTGCATTACAACAATCTGGAAATATACAGGGTTTTTTACATAATTCTCTTCTAACGAACTGCAATTAGAGAGGGTCATCTCACATGCGATGCATGTGAACCTGACAGAATATATTCTTGTTTGCAGTTGGTTTGCAGTTAACAGGGATGGGTTACATCTGACCAAAGCAAGGTGTTTAGTGTAGACCTCTACCTCTGAGCTAGTCATACAAGGACGTTTCATAGTTCAGAGAAAAATGCACATTTTTAGAGCATGATTCATCCAACTTATATTTTTACTTCACGTAACATGAATCATGTTTCTCAATTGCCCATTTCTCTCTGTTGACTATGAGGAAAGCCTGCAGTGACTAGTTCTCACCGTAGATGACATATTTCATCATATAGATTACATCTCTTGAATCCAAGAGAATGAGAGGGCTGCAAAGAAAAAAAGCAGTTCTGAACAGGACACAGAAGGAAAAAGAGAATACAAAAATGGCAGGATCACATTATGTGTCCCTCAGTGCAGGGATCTTAAATGGCAAGCTTGTGACATTTATACCAACAGTCAATAAATAGGCCAATGAAGACAGAAAATCGATGAGTTTGAACTGCACACCTAGGTTCGTGACAAACTCAATCTCCATCAAGGCAAGAATCAACAAATAAGAGTTCACTATTTAAAAAAGTTCCTTTTTTTGTTTTTAACCTCTAGAAAACTCTTAAACTAGTTTTTTAGCTATGAATCATGAGTTGAGTTGTAAACCCATGAGAAATTCAATCTGCTGGCTCAGGTACTAGTGGAAAACCAGGGATGGAGTTGGAGGAGGTCAGGAACTACTGCTTTCTACTTCAGGAGGGTTTTTATTGATTCATGAACTTGTACCAGCTCCACCTCCTGGTAACGGAAAGGAAAGTAAATCCACTGAAACAAATTCAAGAAGTGAATCACAAGGCTGTGGGACCAAATAGGTGTAAAATTTCATTTCATCAAATACTTTTAGCTGGCAAACGCTCACTATGCTTCTGGTTACTACCACACATGAACTAGGGTATTTAACAATGAATGCTGTAACACAGCAGTAATAATCCTCAAAACCAATTCTCTGTGACACAAGGCAAACAGCATCACTGTGGGAAGGAAACTCCAGGCTCATCCCCATGGCAAATCTCTTACCAAACTGCAACAGCCCCGGGATTTGCACATACACCCTATGCAGAGAGATCCATATTGGCCATTACGGAGGAGACTCCCAAGCTTGCTGACCACCAACCACTGTTTGGACCTGAATGGAGAACAGCCTGTTGTGGCAGCCTCACCACAAGCCAGGTCAAGTTCAGTGGGGTTAGATGCAGCTATATGCACCTGTATACTTCTATAGTGGAACAAGAATGAAGCCACCATCACAACAAGCGTGCAGGCAGCACAGTACAGTGTGGAGCCACCATGCAGGCCAGCTCCTCCTCGGGCATCTGCAGGTTTCCCCTCCTCGGTACTGACATGGCTCAAGGAGCTTAGGCACATCTTCTCACTCAGCACATGGGATGACACTATTAAGATGGAATATTGCAGAAGAATAAAAACAATGCACTCGAGCAGAATTTTGCTGAAAGCACAGACTGGCTTGGAGTCCAGCCTGCTCACATATCAGGATGAATTTGGCCCAGTTTATATCCTAATGATTATAATGGATACTGCAGTCTTCTTTTCATTAAGGCAGCAGCCAAAAATATTGATTTGTTGTATTTTGCGCTCCTGCTTACCTTCACAAATTTCAGGAGAGACTGTACAGAAGCCAATAGAGTCGTCAGTTTAAAAGTGACAAATTAACTGTGCTGAAAGTAAATAAACAGCTATCTCTTTGTAAGTTAATTCAATATGTGACTTGAGCTCTTTTCCACAGCTAGAAAGCTGATTCATCATGCAGCAGCATTTAAGTTGCTATCAGTTCAATAGCAGAGTATTAATGTTGTGTCCTATTTGACACAGCAGGTCAAATTTTGTACTCAGGTTACAACAGCTCAAGCTGGAGTAACTCCTGAACCCCCAAACCCTGCTCCCCACATCGCCCTGGCTGCAGTTATGCACCGAAGTGCCCTCAGAGTTGGTTTAAATAACGCTTAAAGTGTATGTGTGTTGGTTTTGGCTGGGATAGAGTTAATTTTCTTCCCAGTAGCTGGTACATGGGGCTATGTTTTGGATTTGTGCTGAAAACAGTGTTCATAATCCAGGGATGTCTTCGTTACTGCTGAGCAGTGCTTACACAGAGTCAACGCCTCTTCTGCTTCTCACCCCACCAGTGAGGAGGCTGAGGGTGCACAAGAAGCTGGGAAGGGACACAGCTGGGACAGCTGACCTCAACTGTCTAAAGGGATATTCCATACCATGTGATGTCATGTTCAGGATATAAAGCTGGGGGAAGAAGGAAGGGGAGGGATGTTTGGAGTGATGATGTCTGTCGTCCCAAGTAACCGTTACGCATGATGCAGCCCTGCTTCCCTGGAGATGGCTGAACCCCTGCCTGCCCGTGGGGAGTGGGGAATGAATTCCTTGTTTTGCTTTGCTTGCATGTGAGGTTTTAGCTTTACCTATTAAATTGTCTTTATCTCAACCTACGAGTTTTCTCACTTTCACCCTCTGATTCTCTCCCCCACCCCACCAGCGGGGAGTGAGCAAGTGGTTGCGTGGGGCTTAGTTGCCAGCTGGGGTTAAACCACCACAGTATGTAGCAGTTTGGGAAAACAGATAGAAAAAGAATCCAAAAGAGGCTTTTGATCTGCTGGATTATGAAGTGTATTCTGGAACAGTTTAGCGAAAGAGCACAGGTGACAGGGTAGGATCATTTTCACAAAAATCCTCGTGAAAGACAAACAAATATTTGTAACTCGTAATGTTCTGGGGGAAGTTTGTGTTTTTTTGTGGTTTTCCCCCCCACAAACTACATTTTAATTCTGGAAAGAAACTAAGCACATTTAACGTGGAATATTGAGTACAATTCCCACTCATGCCAAAACACGATTTGTACTTTATTGAACAAGGACCATAATTTATTATAGGCTATTGCCCCTACTAGTCTAGGCACAGGGTAAAAATCCTTGTTAATTTATTAATGAGCGACATGCACTAACTTACTCTTGCTAATGATCCCTTTCAGTTCAATATATGCTGAATCCTGATATTTTCAGACCAATGCCCTGCCATTTTTAGACCAATCACCCATTGCTTTATAAAAAACCTCTTTAGCTGAAGTTCATGTTACTCAATGAGAAGGTAGGCCAAAAATTTTCAAATGCAGGAGCTTAAAATTGAAATTCTTGCTCAATGCATAAATAATATTGCCTGAATGCTTTCAACTGCTATTAGCATGGTAGAATATGTGAGTTCTTAATGTTTCTGGAAATTAGAGTAGGCGCCCTCTTAACTTCTGACACTCAGGTTTGATGTTTCTGGACACAAGGTTTTGACTGTATCATCGGTGCACAGCTGCAGCACAGAGACTACAGCACAAATAGAATAAAAATATTTTTCACTGCTTATGCTCAGACACGATCCACAGCATTTGTAATGTCGTCTGTTTTTCATAATGTTCAGTTTAGAAAGTTGACATTTGATTAAACAGTTTGAATTTGCCAAAACATACATTTTAATCTTATGTTTTAATACCACATTCTCAATTAAAAGCTTTAGAAAAAGGCATACAAAGTCTGCTTAAACCACAGTAATCCCACAGACCTAACATATTTAATATAATTCCTGAAACTGTTGACTAATATTTTCTAATTTCCTCACTACTTCTAGTACCACAGCTGCACCTTTACTCCCAACAGCTATCAGACATTTAAACAGCCAGCTTAAGTGTTTTACTTGATAGCCTTTTATACTCAGTATTTTCCACGTTTTCCAATAGGATGGCACAGTAGTGAAGTTCAACATCTTGAAAATCTTTCCTCTATTAATACTGTTTTCTAACGCTGATGTTCATAATACCACCACCACCAAGGGAAAGCTAGCACAGCTGGTTTACACTTAGCATCTTTCCCTGTATTTCTACCTTTACACAAGCACGCCAACACTGATGAACACCGCACTACAAGAAAGCGCATTATACAGAATGCTGTATCATCCCAGACTGCTAACTCCCATGAAAAATTACTCTCACCAACAATAAGAACAAGACCACAAATAGGTTTTAGGATGAAATAACTCTTGTTTCTTGCTCCTTATTTCCTTTCATTGGGTTTAACACTGCATTCAAGGTCATGAGGGTTGTGACTCTGTGGAGGTGACCGGAGTAATTTACAATGATCAACAGATAATACAGTGACTGGAAGCGAGTCATTCCGTAACTCTCACTGCTTTCTAAATGGAGTCATCACATAGCTGCTGAAAAGGAATGTGTATTATTTCCACCCACAGAGTGATGAATGTAACCAGGTAATTAAATCATGTCACTGCTGTGCCTGGAAAACCCTTATTTATAATTTTATCTTGCCTGTTAAGAATAACTGAACTTCTTGTTAAAAGTAGAAAATAATCATGCCTAAGCTTTGCTTTTGCGAAAACCCCTATGAAAGGAAAAGAAACTTAGAAACAAAACTCACCGGTTTCTTCATCTATGCTGAATCTCCCCAGGCCGCTGCCATCCCTGATGGAATACTGGATCTCTCCATCCCTTCCAGAGTCCTCGTCTCGAGCAATAACTTGCAAAACACTTGTGCCAATGCGGGAGTTTTCCTTTACAGATCCAATTACGGCAAAGTCAGGAAAATAGGGGGTATAGAGATTTTCGTTAACATCCACCACTTCAACTTCCACAAAGGAAACAGAAGAGAGAGAAACCGGGCGCCCCTTGTCCTTTGCGCGCACAGTTAGGTTGTAGAACTGCTGCTTCTCGTAATCGAGCTCTTTGTTCAAGCGGATGGCACCGCTCGCTTTGTCTATCTCAAACCGCCCGTTGTAATCATTCACCAGTGAGTAACGGACTTGACCTCCCAAGCCGAGATCTGGATCATGAGTTTCCAACCAAGCTATGACAGTGCCAACTGGCAGGTCCTCAAGGACCTTCACGTTGTAGCTGGACGGTATAAAGGCTGGAGAGCAATCATTGACATCATCTAAAAAAACCTTCAGAGGCACAACGGAAAACTGCTGATGGCCACCCTCTGCTTTGTCCCTAGCCTCAATCTTCAGTGTATAGTTTGCTTTTGATTCCCGGTCTAGTTGATCAGCCACGTATACCATTCCCGTGGAACTGTTGATGGCAAATTGCTGGGTGTCTGTCAGTACTGAGTAAGTCACTTCCCCGTTGGATCCTAGGTCTTTATCTCTGGCTTCTACTTGAATAATCTCTGTACCAAGACTTGTACTTTCTAAAATATTAACTGAGTAACTGTCCTGTAAAAAAACAGGCTTGTTATCATTTGCATCCTCCACCGTGACAGTCAACAATCTCCATGCAGATTTCTGTGGACTACCCAAATCATAAATTGTAATATTAAGGAGATAGAGCTCTTTTTTTTCACGGTCTAAGGGCATAAGAACATTAAGTATCCCAGTCTCCATGTCAATGTTGAAACAGCTATCTACATTACCATCAGAAATTGTATAAACTACTCTCCCATTAAAGCCTGAGTCTGCATCATAGGCTTTTATCCTCAGGATGGTGGCACCAACTGGCAGATCCTCTGAAACCTTTACATCAGTAGGGAAGGATTTGTCAAAATGGGGTGCCTGCCTGTTCACCGAATAAAAATCGAGAAAACCATCTTCTGAATTCAGTTTCACATTTGCTTTTGCCTTTTTGAGTAATTTTTCTGCTAGCTTCTGAGCAACTCTAGTTTCTCTACAGCTAAAGGTCTTGGAAGACACTTTCCCATGAACTACCGAAATATTAACAAACATAGCATCAGCAAAGTTCTCTCCATCCGTTGCCGTGATCTTAAGGCCAAAATTGCTGTTCTTTATGCCAGAATTAATTAGAGATTTTTTAAGTTGCAGGACACCAGAGTCAGGATTTAAATAAAAAATGCCAAGTTCATTTCCAGAGATTATTTTGTACTTCACAAGCTCTAACTCATCTATATCTATTGCAGAAACGGCAGTGATGTGACCACCAACAGGAAAATCAGATGAAATCACGCCCTGACACGCCACTTTTTCAAAGAGGGGTTTGTTATCATTGACATTGCCTATGTATATGGTGACATTGACCTCGCTTTCATGGCGGTAGGGAGAACCCCAGTCAGAAGCTCTCACAATGAACCTGTAGCTTTCTGGTGAGGACTCAAAATCCAGTTCTTCAGAAGTGCTGATGACACCTGTAAACTGGTTTATAGTAAATGGTAGTGAGTTCAGACTGGCAATGCTGTATGTTATGTATCCATTTTCTCCCCTATCTTTGTCAACTGCTGAAACTGCCAAAACGCTAGACCCCACGGGGATGCTTTCATTGACGAACGAGCTGTACGAAGGTTGCTGGAACTCTGGAGTGTGATCATTGGCATCTTCTAACCTGACAGTAACTTGTGCTTTTAAATCACCACCTTTGTTTGCATATACTTGTAATTCATAGAGGTCCTTCTCAATGATTTTCAAAGGACAGGCAGTAGTAATAAGGCCTGTGTTGGGATTGATCTTAAAATACTCAGCTTCCTCACTTGGTGATAATCTATATTCCACACCCTGTGGTTCAGGCATCAGCTTAACTACTGCAACCACCACACCAGGAGGCGAGAATTCACTGATTGAAACATCATATGCTTCCTTTTCAAACTTCAAGGGAATACTTTCTTTCTTGGGACTAGCAATGTGGACCAGTTTGACTGCAGAAAATTTCTGAGGAGATCCTTTGTCCTTGGCTTGGAGAGTCAAGTTATAACCATATGGGAAGCTGTCCCAGTCAATAGGCTTTCTTTCTTTGATTTTGTACTCATTCATCCATTTACCTTCTTTAGTCAGAAAGAACTGTTCTAGCGGATCTCCAGCCACAATAGAAACAGATTCTATTTCTCCATTAGCTCCTTCATCTAGGTCATCAATGTTAACAACTGCATAGGTAGGCTCCTTGTCCGATGGGAAGGGAATATGGGTTACTACGTTTATCGTTGGGGCATGTTCATTTATACGTTCAATGTGAACATAAAGCTTGGCAGTGCTGCTTACGCCATTGTTTCCATAAAGCTTCATCCCACGGTCCACAGCCAAAATCTCAAGATCGTATCTGTTTTTCTCATCATAGTTTAACCGGCCACTTAAGGAGATAACACCACTCGTAGGATGAACTGAGAAGAGATCAACTTTGTTTTTAAAGTAATAATAAAATTCACCATTGGACCCAATATCTGCATCTGTGGCAGTCACCTGTGCAATGCTAGTCCTTAAAGGAGTGCTTTCTGCTATCGTGACAGAGTATGTAGTTGGTGAAAACAAAGGTCTTAAGTCATTCATATCCAAAACCTGGATGTTCACTTTTGTCCACGCTTCCAAGTCCTCTCCTCTGACAGACCCTTTCACCATCAATAAATAGTTGTCCTGGATTTCTCTGTTCAATATAGCAGAATTCCCACCTTTAGTCCTTATTCTTAGGAAGCAAAAGTCAGCAATGACGACTTCCTCTGCTTTAAAAAAGCCCTCGTCATCGCCAGACACTATCCTGTACTTGATATCCCATGAAAGGTCAGCCAAGGTAATGCCCATCCTCGTTTGACTGTTGACATAGGTCCTGGCTGCAGAATTCTCATACACTGTAGCATTGTAAGTGGAATGTGTAAAGTGAAAGCCAAGCGGGGTGATCCCGTGAGCTACCTGGCAAATGGATGCCAGGAACTTGACAATCAGAAGGGCAAGGTATGACGGTGAGCCTGACCAGCGGCCCATATTCACCTCCATCACATCATTCTTTCACCCTGTGACACAGAAAGAAAACAGGAAATAGCTGATCAAGAGATAAAAACTGTACCGTGAAGTGTCATGTCAAAATTACTTACTAAATTACAAATGAAAAATAAAACACATGCAATAACTAGTCACAGCATATTTAACAAAACAGAAAGGGAGAACACTATACACACACACACACAAAAGCACCAGTTTTGGATTATATTTTTACATGTCTGTGACTGTGTAATACATATGTATGCGCACATACATGCACATAATACATACATATATATATATATGTATGTTTATACATCCCAAATACCAGCTATCAGGAAGAAAATTAATTCTATCCCAGCCAAAACCAGGACGAGTTTTTTAACACAAAAAACCCTGTGAGACCCTACTACACATATACAAACCTGCACACAGTCCAGAATAATAATCACATTGAAAAAAACTGGTCAGATACACACATTTGAATAAGTTTATATAAGAGGATGAACCACATACAGAAATTATTGGTTTTATTTACTAGTAGGTCCAGCTAAGCCCAAACTTGTTTGTTTTCAGAGCATATTGGAAAACTCATTTTTAGTCGCAATGTTTGGAAAGGAGACAGGATTTTAATTATGTATGTAGCTCTGTGACAGTCAAATGTTACCAGTATTTTTATGGTCAGTTAAGAAAGATCACACGGTTGATGAAATTTGAGCCACCAAGAACAAGTAGTACATAAAAATCACTACCCAGCCATTACTTTAATTACAGATACCTTCAGAAAAATCAAAATTAAGGAAGAATTCTAGCTAATTAAATACAATTGCATACACATATACATATGCATACACATACCCAGATCCTGAGAACAGACAAAACACAATGAAGAAAATAAAACTGCTCAATAAAGCTCCTAGGTGAAGACTCGGGGTAGGAAACAGCACAGTTGAGACAGCCTGTAGGATTTTACTCTGCCTTTGCTTATGTACCACAATGCATCTGTAATTATGGTCACCACTTTCCACCAAATACACTGGGTAACATACACGAAATGAGGACACAGCTGAACATTTTTTTCTCTATGTCCAACAAATGCTCCATGCGCTGTGTGCTGCTGCTATCCCAACCCAAGAAGGGTGAAGACCCACTCCAGTCCCCTGCCTGTCCTACCGCCCACAGGCCACCCCGGCCAGCAAGAGCGCAAATGCATCCCTGCTCAGATGGAGTGAATTCCAGCTTACACCACATTTCACTCTGGCAACCCCGAGCAGAATGTGGCTACAAATAAGACACGCGGCTCCATTGCCAGCAGATTGTCTCACAGAATCATTAAGGTTGGAAAAGACCTTGAAGATCATCAAGTCCAACCACCAACCCAACACCATCAAGCCCACTAAACCATGTCCTGAAGTGCCATGTCTCAATCCAGTCTGTCCCACTCCAGCCACCTCAAAACAGCAACAGCCTTTCCATTGATTTCAGAAGGCTCATTATAAATGTAAGTTTTCAAATGCAATTAATAAGCGGCCATTTGGAGAAGATTTGGAGGTCCTCCGTACAGTCCTGTTGTGGAATAGGCCCAGTGCCTCACTTCAGGGGTCTAAATTGGGAGGTTAAACAGAGACAGGGTGCACAGAGACACTGGCTGAAGGATGCTGGAGGGAGCTGCAGAAGCTGGGAGCTGGGTCCTGCTTACTGCTTCCCACTAAAAGGAGAGGAAAGGAGCCCGAGAAAACCAGGCAGGTGCTTACAGTGAGACAGTGTGAATAAGCTTCTTTGTTACAGAGTACATTTGCTGCTACTCATGAAAATCATAAAAATCAATTTTAAAAGGCAATTATTGAAAGACCCACTGCACACATACATTGTTCTCATTGTCATTTAAAAGCTGCTTGAAAACGTAGTTTTCTCCAAGCTAGAATACAGAGAGGAAAAGGATGGGAAAAGTTGTCGATAATGACAGGGGTTAATTTAAATTTCCACCATGATTTCAACATCCCCTAGGAGATTTATAAATTGCATGCAAGTTTTGGAATATGAATTCATGTTAGTTATCACCTCCAATATAACTGAATGACTACTGCACTTTTAAGTACTAACGACAACCAATTTCTTGCACTGATGTTATAATGTTCACACAAAACACTTAACTTCCTGATCCCGCAGTCTATATCCCATTGCTTAAGACATTAATCAATTTGATCAGTTCTCCCAAGTGTTTGTCAAGGCACTCATCTTTCAATACACTTATTTTCATATGCAGTTCTCCCCCCACTTTGTTTCCTTCTTATTTTCTTTACTATTATACCAACAAAAAAAACCAAAACTCTTTAAAAAGAAAATAAAAATGTAAGATTCTATCACCTCCTGGGCCTGCATTCCCAAATAACAGCAAATCCCCTCAGAACTACATGTGGAACTTCCTTTTCTGAATATGCCTATTCAGTTGTTGTGTACGTATCGCATGAGTCTTGCGATTAACATCTCACCCCATACAGTTTATACATCAAATATATACAATTCTCCAATATGCTTCATTTACATAAGGGACCACCGGGTCTCGCCGTGCTCTCCCCATGCTCAGGTTGATCCCCAGGAGACCCAGGATGCAACTTTTCTGCTTAACCTAGGAAAGATTTTTTTTTATTGTTGTTGCCATTTCACTCAGCTAAAAGATCAGAGCAGCGGCACCTTGTTTTTCAGCACAGCAAACATTCATCATTTTAATCCACCAGTGTGAAAATATCAAAGTCCCTTATTTTCATGGGGCTTTATGTGAATCACTTCGAGTACTGCCACTAAAAGCTTCTGCTTCAGCCTAGCGTGGGAGACGATGCTCTCAAGTAGAAAATATAACCAATATACGGTATGCTTCCAAGGAAAAGCCAGCCAAGGGGAGTGAGAAATTCTAATGAGAGAGACCCAACTCATAACAAAATAAAGGGCTCTGCCTCTTCTGTGATGTGGCATTATTAAAATGCTCAACAGACAAATGACTGTGTTGCTGCCTTTCACCAAGAGCACTTCAGCATCCTCCCTCTGTACTGCAATATCAGCCTCTGCCCGCTGCTAAGGGAAAGCGTAGTTTTGCTGGCTGATGACTGAGACCTATGTTATGTTTCGGATGAGCTCCCAGACTTTATTTCAGCACAGCTCAGCAGCTTCCCAGAAACAGGTGTCTTTGGACTAATGAAATTAAGCATATTATCCTATTTACGTCTCATTTGGTGGTCTAGTTTCTCCTGTCCACACCACAGTTCAGCCTGAGCTGGTTTCTCTGTCATTCATGGCCATCAACATCAGGTTTCCAAGTCCTCCCATAATCAGAAATCAGTTTTCCTGAGAAATTCATTGCTACAAGCAAAGATGATTTAAACCCTTACCTTCAGGTTATCCATACCCAAGGTTTGAGACTCTGCCATGGCAGACAGGCATCAAAGTAGATATTTACAGAGCCATGTGATTAGGAGAACCTAATGAAAAAGTTGTGGATATCCCAGGCAATATAAGATGACATCCTTGCGCTCCCATTCCATCTATCTATTTATTTTTAGAGAAAGCCAGGGCTAAGACTTAATCTCAAACACACTGCTGTAAATGCAGTCATGTCAATAAAGTTTTAGTGGCTCAGTGCAATCAGGATCAGTCGTGAAACACTACATTCCACCTAAAAACAACATATGTATGCGTGTGTGTGTCTGTGAATGCATGTTTTCATTACATATACATATGTATACACAAACACACAGTTTGTGTATTTTTTTGGTATAATTTCAGGGTTCGCACTGGAAAAATTGGACTTTCACATCAGGCAGCGCTTTCAGAGTTTGACTTCATTTCAGATGTGGTATGCAGAGTTGTAACAAGCTCCTCATTGAAGTTATTCATCTATCCATATATTTATATGGCCATCATCATTATTTTATTTGAAAATCCCAATGGATGAGCTATTAAACTGCCACTTGGGCTACCCAAGAATGTTTTCTTCATTCACTGAATTCCTTTCTTCTGGGATATTTGTTTTTAAGAGCTCATAATGCATACATACTCAATGCACAGGAAACGTAATGCGATAGGTTACAGAAACAAAGTACAAAGCAACCCACCGTAAATTAAGAGGAATTTCTTTAAAGGCACTTCTTGTCAAAAAAATGTTATGGTTTCAAGTGAAGAGAAAGGTTGTGATTACTTCTGCTTGATTTCGAAACGTTTGGGCAGGAGCCACTCACAAAAAAAAAAATAATTCCCCTAGTACTGCTCAACATGGTTAGCGTGAAGAAAAGAAACAGCTCTAACAAAAGCAGAGACTAAAAGAAAAAAAACCTCCTTCTACCTACCCAAGGAGGTGACAAGATAGCACAAAGTAGGAGTCCAGCATCTTTCCACTCTAGCTCACATTAAATCCTCTAGTCTTGAAGTGGGAAGGAAGGAATGGAGAAATAGAATGGTGTGTCTTGGTTTTTATTACTCTTGAAAATAAACTTGTACATCATAGAGAACTCTATAATTTCACATTCAGTTCTCCACTCAGTCACTTCCCTTCACTCCTTGAACAAAGATTAACTATGTGATCCAAACCTTGTAGAGTAGCTGCAGGGACCTATAGGTGGCTGGTGCTCCTCAGAGGAATTGTGAGAGGTATGAGCATCATTCTTTTTTCTCATCTTGGCTCTGGCAACCTCCGGTCTGGGCTGCATCCAAACATAACAACCCACCAGACTGAGAAGGAAGACTCAAGTCCCTGGAACTGCTGGATTCCTGCACACCAAAATCATGGCTCTAATTCAATATGCAGATATGGAGCAAGTGCTGTGTGATCCTTTGTTCGATTCTCTCTCCCAAGGCTAATTCTTCTAATCCCAAAGATCTCCATACCATAAAATACTTGAAAAAGAAAACAATGCATATGCCTCTTGTGTAAACTCAGACAACATTAAACCAGTACCAAAAGGACTTTTAGAGAATATGAGGAACATAGCAGGTAGACGTCTTCAGCAGGC